CTCTCTCTCTCTCTCTCTCTCTCTCTCTCTCTCTCTCTCTCTCTCTCGCTCTTTCTCTCCAAGTCAAATGTAAATTCTTGCTGCTTGCAATTCAGTGCTCAGAAAGAGTCTGAAGTCATAGGCACAGAAGAGAGAATGGCATTACAGATTATAGACAGTGTATCAATGATGCAGAAAAGAAGATGGATAAATTTACCAGTTTATTTTGGCTTTGTGTGTTTGTGTATGTTTGTGTTTATGTGGGTGCACATGTATGTGTATACAAATGGAAGCAGAGGGCAATTCCAGTGTCCATCATCAAATGCCATCCTCTTATTCTTTTTCTTTTTATTAAGGCAGTCTTTCACTGACTTGGTCTTCACAAATAGGCTGGGTGAGCTGACTAGCAAGTCTTAGGGATATTTCTGTTTCTTGATCTGTTTATCCAGGACTGGGGTTATAAGCCTGTATCACCATGCCCAGATTTGCCTATAGATTCTGAGTATCAAACTCAAATCCTTGGGCTGGAAAAGTAAGCAGTTTACCAACAGAATTGTCCCCTTGTACACAACATTTACTTTTTCTGGATTAGTTTTTTTTTTAAACAAATTTGGAAATTATTTTTAAGACTCTAGTCATGAATGGAACTAAGTTATCTCACATGTGAACAAATTTTGTTTTCCTATCATTTTAGATTTAATAATGGTTTATATAAGCTAGATTATGAGTGTTTGAAAAAATATTTTATAATGATATTCTGCAGAGTTAGCCTTTGTTTGGTAACAGATACTAATGAGAGAGAGGAGAGGGAATAGAAAGAAAAAAAAAATATCTGCAAAGCTTCACCAGAAAAGGCAGGTATCCCACTGGCTCATAATGTAAAATTCTCTAATTATTCTAAGATCATTAAGATGCCTGGCCTACTTAGTTTCCATAAAGATGCATCTCTGAGCATGTTCGTTAGTAAGACAAGAATGTGTAATGAGCAACTAACTAATTCTCCTAGAAACTAATCAATTCACACAGTTGTCTTTCTGGAAAATGATGACAGCAGAAATCATTCTTGATGGTAAAGTCTTAAACGGCTGTAATATTCTTTATGGTCCTATGGGTAATTTTCAAGTTACATTTCTCTAGTACTGTAAAATCCATAACTAAGCTCTGTACTGCTTAATTTGACCTCCTTCACCAATTACAATTCTGTAACGAACTTCAGGATGAAGGCTATGTGCTCAGTGTTGACATTTAGCTAAGGCAAAGGGCTTAAAAAATTAATACTGGCTTATTCTTCTGCAGGGATATGCAAATCGAATCTCCATCAGCATAGTAGAGTATCTGGTACCCAAAGGCCAAATTGGTTAACACACCTACTTGTCTTTGCTTCCTTTGAAATCTTGGGACTGAATAACTTTTTCCACTAAGCATACACACACTCTCTGTAACCTTGTCCCTACACTCCAGTCTGCATTCAAACCCCTTTGTGTTTCTTTTCCTGCAATTACTTTGCAGTGCAGTGAATATAGAGCTTCCTCATCACTCTAGTTTTCTCGCCCTTTGTTGCCTTTCTCTTGGGCTGGAGTCACCTCTAACTTTCTTTACCTTCTCCTAGACTTATCTTCCCACATCTTCATTGCAAATTACCCCAAGTTGAAGCTGCTGCTTCTCTGGGCATGAGGCAGAGGAAGCTATCTCCCTACTATCTTCTTGTCCCATGAACCTATGTCTTCCCAATATGACCCCACTGTGCAAATAGTATAAAATAAGCTTCCTCCCAAAGTCCATAGTACAATACAGGGTCAACTTCAGCATCTTTTTAGTCCATGGGCAAATATTAGTTTCTTTTACTCCTCTATTCTAGGTCTTCCAGGTACTATTAATTGTTCTGTTTATTTTTATACATTAACCATAATAGTGGTTATATCATAACATAGCTATCTGTATCTCTCTTTCCTGTGGGTCCACTTCCAGACGGGTCCCATGAGGATCTCTGACCTGGCTGAGGACAGGGTGCGAACGGCAGCTGCCTGGCTTCCTCTGCCCACGGGCGGTCCAGGAGGGATAGAGAGTGGACAGGAAGGGTCTGCTGTTGCCCCTGCCACCAACTGCGTCTCAGTGTCTCAGTGGCAGAGAGGGGAAGAGTGTTATAGCCCTTTGAAAAGTGTTACAGCTCTTTGAAGTGCCCCGTGAGGCACCAGCTGGCCGTCGAAGAGGGGAGGGACTGCGACAGAAGCTCTCAGACAACAGGAAGAATCTCGCACACACCTTTACTTCTGAGTTTTGCCCATATATACAGTTTTGAGGTGGGTTAAGGTCTGGCAGCAGGTAACCCCTATTGGCTTGGTGTGAGAGCTTGGGAATGCCTCATCTGCATGATGGTGCTACTCAATGACCATGGGCCTCTCTGTGGGAGGGACTGTGGAGGGCTGAAGCTGAGAGAGCCAGAGGCCTAGGAAGATCTCGAATCACCTTCCGATCCAGTGGTTTTATCCAAACCAGGGTGCCGGGGTTCTAAAGCTCTTCTACCAGCCATCCGGCCTTTTCTCGTAGCTCACTGCCCCACACTTTCCTACTAGCATGACACCTTGAAAACAAGACTTTACCTCAGGAATTCTGGTGATCTTACATTGTCCTTGAATTGATCTTATATTAAAAAGCTGCTCATCAACCACACAACAGCACAGTGATGGGTGCTTATTCTTAGATCAGCATGAGCAAGAACAACATTATCTGTGAATTACTAATCAGCAAGGGGTCCTGTACACAGATGGCAATGAATCAGGAAAAAAGATATAATCTGATCAAAAGAGAAACAATTCTTGAAAATCTGTGATTTTGATGGTTGAT